AGGGTGGCTGGTAGATATCATTTCTTAGCAACGGTTTTCCGCTGATTTGTTGCTCTCTCGGTGCTTTAAAAAAGAATGAATCTTTGACGTCAAGCGGCGTCATGATCAGTCGTAGTTCCGGCACACCGACTGAACTGAACAATCAGCATGTAAAAAGTTAATATTTTGATTTCGACGTCAGCTCAACTGAGTTCGTTACCGATTTGGGCTCTCCAGATCAAACCCGTTGACGGGTGATTGCTGACGGCACTGATCGATAGAACTAGCTGAGAGACGGCCGAAACGAAGGACCCGTATGGTGTGGTAGTGATCGCATTACTCCCCGGAAAGGACAATAGCGCGTTCGTTACCCACCGCAGACACCTGTGGTCCGGAATTTTGCAAATATCTCACCAATCTTGTGGTTGTATTTCGCTTAATACCCTGCCATAAAAATTGAAGAAGGCAGAAAATAAAAAGTTAATATATCTCAACATTGTTGTGGTTGAAAATGATACCATTCAAAGGAAATACATCAAAATGGTTCTCAGCCATAAATTGCATAAAAATCAAAGTCTCAAGCGTTTAAATATTCACTTTCAAAAACAGAAATTATTCACGGCACTAATTCTTACCCAATTATTATAACATTAGTTGCCATGCTTGTTATCGGATGGACTCTAGATAAGGTACGATACCTAGTGCGTTGAGAAATTGATAAATTTCTAAAGCAGACTCTGACTTATCACTTCAACTGCGAAACAACTTAGTAGAAAAAGTGATTTTGTTCGTATTTTAGTAGTAGTAGAAAAAACTTAAACTTTAAACTTACTTTAGCAAAAACTTTTTAGTAGAAAAACTTCGACACCAAAATACTTCAGGGTTCAAACACTTGGAAACAAGATTTAAACTTTTAACACAACATGGGCAGTAGCAAAACTAAGATAAACTATGAAACAGCATCATGTCTTGTTTTAGAAAATTTCAACTGTTCCGTCATTTCATCGTTCGAAATTCGATTAAAAAAAAAAAAGGAAGAAACGAAATTTCTTTGCAGTGTAAAAACTTGACAAAACAGATAAACTAAGGCCTTATTGGCAGTTTGTTTCGAAGAAGCTGTATTAGATGACATCGATGAAGAAGACCAAATCCTCAAGCAGCAGTTGAACTCACACACGAAATCGAAGATAATCGTGTTGAAGGATGCAAAGAAACGAACCGAATGCAAAAAGTGCTACGATCCGCACATTAAGTGATATCGGACTATATAAAATTGTACAAATAAATAACAGAAAACGAACAAATTAAGCAAATAAATAGAACCAAGTCGTATTTGTTTGAACTATAAAACCCAATTATTTCTGGGCAATGACCAGTGATATATCACTTCCAGCCTGTCATGTGTGTTACTGTGGAAAGAACAATGTGCCATTATTATCAAAATAAAAGTCCATTACCTTAGCTATTCTTACGATACCTATTGTGACATTTTTAAATCTAGTCACTTTAAAAGAAAATACTTTGAATTACCATCAACTATGATCAGCAATTTGATTTAAGTATTCCCTCTTCTGGCTAGCTGGCCTGCCTCAAGTACTCAGTCCAATAATTACTTGGATGGCCCATCTTCATTAGTTGTGCGGGCCCTAGCATAATTCTCTACTTTTCGGAGTTTTCCTGGTTTACCCATTGTGGGTCCATGGAGTCCCGAGAACAGCCTGGTCAAAGTCTGCCCCAGGTCGTCACCACCACAGCTAGTAACCGCCCTTGTGGATAAGAGCGAGATCACTAGTTGCGACTAGTTTAATACCAGGACGGTGGAGGATCCAGGCATTGGTTTACTCTTAGCTAGGCTTCCTGATGGAAACATCGGACTCCTCAGCTTGGGAGATCCTACTGGCAGGTGATTCCTCTCACTATATATCACATCCCGACACCGAGGAACATTCAGCCACGATGAGGTGGTAACCCGTTGAGAGGACACAGTACAATAAAGGATTCAAAATAATAAATATTGGTAAGCTGGGCGTTACAGTCAACGACACAACAGACATAACTCAGAGTCGTCAACCACATGCGACTATAAACAGCTGTTCTAAACTTCCTCATTGGAAGTCACGAAAAAGCGGCTCTGAAGAAGGCGATACTGCCGAAACGTCAGCTAGTGTTGTATTGTATTGTGTTTTTCTATGGAAGTAAATGTATGCTGCTTAAAAACCTCGCAATTGCTGAACAAGAAAACGACACAGACATAACTCAATTTTAATTATTAATCAATATATGCAATGTATTCTGCTGAGTTTTGCAAATACCTCAACATCATTGTGGTTATATTTCGCATACCTTGCCAAGAAAAAGTAATAGGCAATAAATAAAAAGTTATGTGCTTTGAAATATCTTTTATTCACTCCCACCTGTACTGATCTGGTCCTGGAATAATTAGAGGGATTCTTTTGGCCTCTTCCTTCTCATAACCATCCAGAACCCGATCAAGAATACTGAAATATGTCACCTGTAATTGAGAAAAACTTTTTGGAAGAAATTTTGGAGTCTTCTCTCTTCTTATACCTCTTTGTATTCACTGTAACTAAAGCGGACATCCAGTCCATTTTCTCCTCAGCACTCTTGCAAATCATCGTAAACGTTCGTGTCGCGTACGGTTTCTCTCGTGATTCCAATCGAAAAGAGTATCGCAACACTATAAACAACAAACTGAGTGCCCTATGAGTAGACCTCAATTAGCGTCCAGTTTCCTTTCAATAATTTTTATGCGACCTGAATGCAAAGCAAACGGTTAGCAAGAAAGTAGAAGAAAGAGACTACGTGACTGCTGCTTGAAATGAATGGGAAAACTACAATTGGGCTCAAATTTACTCCAACGCAAAAACCTTTCTATCTGTCTTAACATATACAGAAAACACCAACTATTACAAAAGAGAAGTGAGAGATTTACAGCTGCCCACAACAATTATATGCAAGAAAAAATAGAACAAATACTTTACATTTGGTTTTTACATTTGTTAAAAAACCAGTTGATTTAAAAAAGGGCAAATAGTTGACGGCCTACCGTCGCTATCCTTCATGTCTATGATGTCCATAAGGTTCACACTGATTCGCTCCTTGAACTTGTACGCTTTATGCTTCTTACAAAGAACCAGCAGATGGTCAAACAAGAATAGATGTCTATAAAGACATCTTTTTAAAAATGCAAATACCTTCCTACATGCGCCGTAAGCACCACATCATACCTCTCTGTTTTCCACCGTCCTTTTCTGATAATATCGGGGGAAAACGTCAAAGACGGCCTAATCATCTGCAGATCACCCTCTTAAAAACACTAGGTTAAACGTAGCTAGATTTGAAGCAGAAGCAACCTGTTTCCTTCATGGGCCCAAGTCATGTTGGTTGCATAAAAAATAAAGTATAAAGCTCGGCGTTGATCAATCCCTGAAGGATGCACCATGCATTCGACTTCATTAAGCATCGATGGCGGTGGCTGAATGCATATCTGGCCTTTACAATGGCTCGCCGTGGCCTACAGATGTATCCAGCCGATGCTGCTATCCTCTCAGACAAGTTTGGTACCAATTTGCAGACCTCGGAGGAATGGAGGGTTTGGTGGGCCGGGAGCACGGATATGGACCCTATGTGTATTGCAGAGCGCCTCCGACCACTGCGCTACACGCGCCTCTTGTACATTGCATACGGTGAACAAATTAACAGAAATTTCCATGGAAATGGAAGCACTATTCTTTCGATCTAGAAAATTTATTATCTGATAGAAACTGTGTAGAATCACTTAAAATATTGGCAAAGACAAACGTAGTCCACTAACGCTTTATCAATTCCGAACATGTCTTTCCGATGGGATTTCCCTCAAAACCTTCAATGCTTCTTTGGATTTCTTGCAAACGACTGATCTGTGAGATCCTCGAATCATACCGATTAAAAAGCTCTCTGTAAAAACGGAGCAAAAATTGACCAACAACGACGAACTAAGAAAACTATTACACAAAGACTGGGAGAATGTGAATCACATAACAGAACAGCAGCAAAAGACATACGATCGACTTTTTATCGTAGCCATATCCTCATGGTCAAACATTTGCTCCAACTGGTTGCCGACTGTTGTTAAATACAGTTTCGAATTCTATAAAATCTCATATAAACATGATGGAATTACAGTGATATACTGAAAAATCGCAAGAGATACACACACCTGTAGCTCAATCCGATCTTCCTCATTCCAGGAGTACTTCAATAGTCTCTAAAGTAATAGAAAGAAAAAACTAAAAAAAAAAATTAAGAGAAAAAAGGAAAGAGGAACAAAAGAAATAATTTGAATTCACAAGTGATATTTTAAGAAAAATATTATGTGCCAACTACTAAATGCTTTTTAGAAGAAGTGAAATTTAACCAGTAAGGAAGTAGGAAACCGTTACGACGCACATACAGAGAACTAGAAACTCTAAGCAGAAATACTTACATTTACATACTCCAAATAACGAAAAAAGTGTATCAGTGGAGAGTGCAAGAGGGTGGGAAGTACATACTTCATAGCTAGACGAAATGTAGGCCCATCTAAAGAAACACTATACGATCGATCCTCGCTCTGAAACGACGGGATAAAATACAGCACGAACTTGTCAGTACCCATAAAAATCTATCCACTAGTTTCATGACTCACACCGAACAATGACTGATACTTCTTGTTCTCTAGAAGATCTTCTATGGCCTGTGTTATAACTCGCGTTAAAATTGATTCTGGCTCATCATCACGTCCACGCTTCATGTAAGCCAAATACCTTAAACAAAGTGATAACATCAAAAAGAGAATGTATGTCGAAACAAATTCTAAAGAACGCATCAAACCTAACATTTTCTCTCCAAAATATTAGCCTCTAAGCACATGCCTCTAAATATGATGGAACAAATACGTTAACAGCTTTTTTGCATGGCTTGACTTAGATAAAATTAACAAAGCAAACAAACACTGTAGCTCTGAAACAATGTACGGAAGAAAAAACCGATAGAAGTATTTACCCGTCGAATTCGTAAGCCTCTGCTAACTCCCACATACCCATTCCAATACACGGAGAGTCGCTCATTTCTATAGAATCCTCAAGAGTTCTCTCCATTTTCATTGTGAGCTCATGAATCTCTGAGAGGTTTCCAAAAAGTAGCCGAAGGTAAATCTTAACAAATCATTAATCCGCAACGTCTAGAAACCTTATAGAAGCGTACCACACACACACACACACACCTTGTCTTCGTCCTGCAATACTGCTTCTAATCTACGGCGAAAGACATTGACCTGATTCAACTCTCGTAGATACAGTCTTTCCTCTTTAAGGAAATCACTAGCAATCTTAATTAACATGTAAATTGGGTAACGAAGGATCTAAAACGCCCTTCGCTAGAATACGTAAGAATAACGAGAAAAAAGATTTCGGAAGGGCTAGTAGAACACTAACAAATTTGGAACACAAGGTGGATATTATATTACATTATAATTACAATGTTTAACCCTTACTTAACTATTATACATCTATAGCACGGTACTATGCGAAATATAACTACAATGATGCGAAAATATGAGTCAAACTTGGCACCTCGGGTGTACTACGAAGAAGCAAATAACCCTTTCCTGGGGCTTATGTGTTATCCATCGAACCAACCGTGACCTTTGCTCTACCTTACTCTCAGCGTATTTCTTTTACCCTAACCTTGAGCTTATGGAATGGGATAGCACCGATAGTATAAAAAATCTCCCTAAGAGATAAGGAAAGCTAGAGCTACGGTTAATGCAGTCGATAACGTGTGGGAAATCCGGAATCGCGAGTTCGAAGCGCATCTGAGTTTCCGACTTCTTTTTCCATATCTCAGTAACATTGTAGTTATAAAGTGGATAGCCAGTACATTTGTTTTAGATTCTAGACTTAAACGCGAAGTACTGTAAAGTGGGTAAATTAGGAAGAAATTGGCATCTATACATGTAGAAACGTACTGATTCATACGAAGTATTCTGTTCTTTTTCTTCATCTGAATCCTCAAGATCGAAATCATAGAAATTGGACAGAAAGCCTCCAGGTGACTGGTCATCATCGTCATTTCTCAAAGAGTTGCATAACTGCATTAGCGCCTAAAAATAATATTAACAGTGAAGAACTAGTGGGAGGCAATGAAAGCTTTTTTCCTATTAAAAAGGTGATATGCTAAACAAAAATCCTCGTACTAAAGATTTAATGCCAAAGCAAACGTACGCGAAAGATGCGACAATGAATTCGAAGGATAGGTAAGAGTTTTACGAAAACAATACCTTACAACCTACTTTGTCAGCATTTAGGGCGATCTTCAAGTTCTGGAAATTGATCTTCATATCGGAATTTCGAATATTCTTCACATAATTTCCCGTCCACTTCATTATGTCCTAAAGTGGTGAGAATTCAACAATGTCTGCTGCTAAACTAAAGTCGCTAGAAAACTGTAAAGATTACGTACCTCAGAGATCCCTTCACAAATAGCGATAAGGTAGTATGCCATTTTGTCAATTTCTTTGTCTTTCTCTCGATCTTTCTTATCTTTTTCTCTGCCCAAGCTATCCTGGAAACAACCAACGTGTGGATCGCTTTCATTACTGATAATATGATATATCTCCTAATAGAGATAAGAACTGGAAAAATAAAGAGTAAAGAAGAGATCCAAGACTCACTTTGATTGTCGTGGACATCTTATGGTGTAAATCATGAGGCAAACGTGACGTACTGAATCTTCCCGTATGAAACTTTCGACTTGTTATGGTATGATTATACATGGCATCCCATGCATCCTGTAACAAGAGAAAAAGCACTTCCGAGGCAAAAAGAAAGCCTAGCCTCTTTTTATTTCCATTAACACAGTTGTGACAATGTGAATTGATACAAACTCTAACGTGCTCGAAAACATTGCAACCTTCCGCCTTAAACAAGCATAATTAAGACAAAAGAGACTTCTTTGTTGAGATAAAGACCACTAAAATAGACAGATCTTTTCAGGATCGACTTTCTATTAACCTCAGCATTGGAATATGAATGTGTCCTTTCCTTGTTCAGCAGTCGCGAGGTTTTTAAACAGCATACATTTACTTCCATAGAAAAACACAATACAATACAACGCTAGCCGACGTTTCGGCAGTAATAGCATTGGGGATGTAGTGAAGAGGACAAAGAACACCCGACTTTGTGCCTACCTTTTCGACTCAAGGGTACTTTGTGCCCTAACGCATGCGTCAGAAACTTGGTCGCTGCGTAAGCAGGATGAAAAGTCACTCAGAGTTATCGAAAGCGCAGTCGAAAAGACGATGCTAGGAGTATCCCGTTTCACACAAGTGAAGGAAGGGATCCGAAGCTTTGACCTACGTCAACGATCAAAAATCAAGGTGCCGTTCTGTATGCCAAGCAGTCCAAGATAAGGTGGGCCGGACACGTAGTGCGTATGAATGACAACCGATGGACAAGAGCCGTTAGTGGCTGGATTCCTCGGGATTCCAAACGTACCGCAGGAAGGCCACCGACCCGATAGTCAAAGCTCTTCACAAAGAGCCTTGAAGAAAGATTTGCTGCTCGACGAGTCCCTAGAGCGAGCAGAACCCGCTGGGCTACTCTTGCACGCAACAGGGAAAAATGGAAGATTTACTGGTGCTGGTCGAGTCACTCGACGACCAACGGGACTACAGGTGATACAGGTGACTCACCTTTGCTATCCAATGACATGACACCGGCAGCAGTTTCCGTATAGCCTTGTCCATATCAATGACGTTAGCAAGTTTCTGTTCCAAAATCTCAAAGAAGCAACATTGCACTCGAAAGTAACTGCATTATACAACGTTCAGAAAACAGTACCTCAATAACAACCTGGTTGATGAGGTCCTTAATATGAAGTACAGCGTCATGATCAATCGCCATACCTGGATGCACCGCACCACAAAGCTAAATTCATGGTTATGACTCAGATAGATTAGGAGCGTGGTGCGAAATTAATTCAATAGTAAAGCTGAAAATTGGTTAAAAATAGAACCAGTCGTCAAAAATGCGGCAAAATGAAAGAAAAAACCAAACACGGTCTTTATTATTGATATAATTACCCGCGAAAAGTTGGTAATTATAATTCAGACAAATTCAAAGTAAGGAATAAAACTAATACAACAGTAATAGCGAACATCACCCAACGGTTTACCACTTCACCGTTGCTGGGAAGTGTTCCTGAGTGTTGGGCTGCGATTTACAGCAAGAGGAATCACCCCCGGCAGGGTCTCCTAAGCTGAGAAGGAGACTGGCGCTTCTATCAAAAAGGCCGATTAAGAGTAAACCAATACCAGGAGCCACCCACCATCCTGGTACCAAACTAGTCGCATGGTGGCAAATCTCTCTTTGATCCACAAGAGCGGCGACTGTAGCAGTGATGACCTGGGGTACGCTTTGGCTAGGCTGATCTCGAAACTCGAGGGAACCACAGTAGCTAAACCAGCAAAACTCGGAAAAATGGAAATTATGCTGAAGCCCTCACAACCAGTGAGGAAGAACCATCCAAGTGTCCAAGTAAGTAACAGCGATCAGACCCCATTAAGAAGTGGCAAGAAACTTCTAGGAAACGAACAAAAGCTTCATGATGGATATAAGCACCTTAAACAAGCACACCTGATAAATACGTTCGACAAAGGCATTCGCCCAGACCTGTTGGTTCGCCGTCAATCGTCCGATCGATGGTGTATCACATGTGGATAGAGGACTCATATGGAGTAAAAAAAAAAGAATACGAATACTGTACAGCTTATCATAAACATGAAAACGAGTAGATACGTCGCTACTGAAGGCACTGCTTGTAAGGAAGGCACCGATCCGGTCTTATCACATCAATCTGAAAGCACAAATTTAAGGAGCAGAAAGCAAACACACCCGACTCTCTTACTTTTAGAAAACTATAATGCGTCAGTGAACACAGCCGAAACGAAAAACCAGTCTCAAAACTATAAATAGAAAAAGGACGAGATAAACAGACACATAACCTTATCTTATTCGTAAATGTCTCATAAAATCTGGTATAGACTCTCTTAGAAAAACAGTAACGGCAGAAGATATGACCAAGATTCATACCAAACAAAAACAAAACTTTAAACACACTATGCGGAAGGTAGAGCTCAGGGCGATGACTCGTCACCATCTCGAAAAGGCTCCAGGTTCAGCACACACTTCAGCACAAATCTATGGTGCTTTCATTGTACTTGTAAGCCTTAAACTCGCTTACAAAGTGTAAAACACTAGGAATTCTTCTTTCAAGTAAGTAAAAACAAACTCAACAACAGGAACAGGCATAGGTTCATGAACCGACACGATCTCTCGGTTCCGTTTTTATCTCTACACACTCCTCAGCTAGCCATAGAAGAAATTCCTCTCAAGAAACAATTTATATAAAAATACACAGTAGCTAGGAAATCTCTTGTTTCATGACTGTACCTCTAGTAGAGAACCAAGTCAGGAGAGCTACAGTCATAAAGAAGATTTTAACGAAATGATCGAAACTTTGGAGTTAAAAAACGTAAACTCAGGATCTGAGTAGTCATTACTATTACTATTATACGATCCGACGCGTGTAGCGCAGTGGTCGGAGGCGCCCTGCAACACACACGTGAAACCGATCCCCGCGCCCATGGCCCACAAAGCCTTCTATCCCTCTAGGGCCGGCAAATTGGTACCAGACTTGTCTTGGAGGATAGCAGAACTGGCTCGATATATCGGCAGGCCACTGTGAGTCATTGTAAAGGCCAGATATACATTCAGTCACCTCCAAACGATGCTTAATGAATTAGAATACATGGCGCATCCCTCAAGGATTAATCAACACCTAAAGCTTTACCCTTTTATTCTATTTACGACCCGATATCACATATATCACATTACGCGGACCCCACCAGTTTTCGTATTCGATTCGTTACTTCGCATCCATCATCCACGTGGATGTTCGAATTTTTTCAGGTGCAGGTTTGGCTGCAACTAGAGGATTTTTAAGACCTCGTCACGAATGTCGTTGAATGCTGGCCGAGTCAGTGGTTCCTGGAACCCTGGGTTAGTTCTAATAGGGCTTTCTCACGGATATTGAGGAAAGTCAGCTTGTTCTCGACTAATCTGCTCCCAATTGCCCGAACCCGAAGGAATAGGGGGTTTAGTTGACCCGATGCGGCGTTGAACCGCGGTCAAGGTGGGTTGAGCCGTCCCAAGAATAAACGGCACCACTATCACTGGGCTACTCACTCCGTATGTAACTCAACAAAACAAAATATGTACATGTGTCAAAGTAACATAGGAAAAAGCCGGGGGAACAGTAAGTACGAGAGTTTCTCAAAGTACGTGAGCTCAATAACCTAGGAAAAACATGTTTCGTTGCAGTCAAGGCACCGCGACATAACCCGTCAACGAATTTGGTGCAAATTATCGTCTTTTTTTTTCGAAACATTATCGATATCCATTTGTATGCAGGAATCATTGACAGTCTACAGTCGACTTTGTAGTAAATGAGCATTACAATGAGGTTCTTCAACAGCTCCACTCACTCCAGCCTTTCTGATTCTTGAATAAACCCTCCTCCACCCCCACATTACTCACAGCACAGGTGAACAACAATAAGAAAGAATGCGGACAAAGATTCTCTATAGTTAGATTCACCCAGAAAAAGAATGGGGCTGGGATTCCCATTCTTTTTTTTTCATTCTCTTTTCACAAAGGAACTGAAAAGATTCGACAAGGCCAGCTACGTACCCGGCAAATAGTACGTGAACACCGTTCGTTACTGTGTAAATGACAAGTAAAGATAGCGTGAGAAAAACGAATAATCACCGGAATCAAAGAGTTGGAGTGGTAGGAAGAAGGCCCAAGAAGCTCGACTCGAATCAAACATTCCTTTGCATTGAGTAGAGAAAAAATCAATGTATTGTTACACAAACCGAAGAATGATGTGCTGCTATCGCAGGTCATGCATTGATAACGACCATTACGAACTAGAAGAGTTCCCAGATCGAACATAGAACCACCGAAGACTGGCACTTCAACTCAATTTCATTTCATTTTTTTCCCTTTTATTTTACATAACCCGTTCCCACACACTGTGTGCGGACCATAGCACTGCTTCCTTTCGATACATTGCATTCGATGCATTGCCTTCTTTTTCAATGTATAGCAGTAGTAGGAAAAACTTGTTTTCAAACAGAAAAAAGGAGGAGAACGGAAGAAGGCTGAAATGAGATAAGCGGCATGGAAGATCAGAGCATTCTTATAGCAGCTAAGTGAATGACTCAACAGCTTATCAGCTGCTAACGCAACCGTCTGGAAGTCGATGATGTCACCGATATGGAACTAGTCCAGTTCGTCGATATCAATAACTCATTTAGTACTTCAGGGCGTTACAACAGTATGATATAATGCAAATCATGTTTAGGATTCTTCAAAGTACTGCATAGTCTCATTGTAAGCGGACTTTCCATAAACCTCGGTCTAAATAATCAGTGATACATTTATCCCTATTGACGAATTTCACTTACAAATGGTATACTAATGGTGTTGTGATAAATTTGGCTTCGCTGATGCATTGTGAAAGTATTGAATGTTTCCATGACAGGTGCTAGTTTGCGTTGTTCAGTTCAGTCGGTGTGCCGGAACTACGACTGATCATGACGCCGCTTGACGTCAAAGGTTCATTCTTTTTTAAAGCACCGAGAGAGCAACAAATCAGCGGAAAACCGTTGCTAAGAAATGATATCTACCAGCCACCCTCTAGTTTTGACTACTACCATGTACTACCTTCGCTATTACAACAAACGAAGTGATTCACCTTTTTCAGAGCTGAGAAATTTAAAGCATTCGGAAAGTGATCTGTGACTCACATGTGGGCCGAAAGTAATTCAGCTTTCTAGTTTTACATAAACACATTTCGTATGGTATCCGCAGTGCATATTCGCTTTGAACTGTATTAGCCGAAATAGAAATCAGTGGAATCTACAGTTTTACTATTAAGTAAACTTACTTGGATGGTCCCTCTTCACTGATTGTGCGCGGCCCAGCATTTTGGCCGAACATACTGCCTTAACCATTGTGGTTCCCTGGAGTCGCGCGGTAAGTCTAATCGAAGCCTTCCTTAGCACTGCACAATCCCAGGCGGTCTCGGGGACCCGGGGGAGACTTGTCATCATGCGACTAGTTCGACACCAGATCGGTAGCGATTTCTGTTATTGGTTCACTCTTACTCTTTCTCAGCTTGCGATGCTCTGTTCCGACACCCAGGAATACCTCCCGGCAACGACGAGATGGAAAATCATTCGAAAACCTATGAAGAAGAAGGTTTTATTATTCTAACCACGATGAAATCCTAATATTCAGAAGTTATAGAATTCTCGAACAGTTTTTTTCCTTCATCTAGACTTGTCTAAAGGGAGAATGCTATAGTTGGAATTTCGTCGAGCAAAATGCGACATTATCCTCGAAATCAGTCACTGTTGGCAGGGCTTACGTTGAAAATCATATCAATTCTTTAAACTTTTTTCCTAAAAATTCAGACAGACGAGCACAATGACTTTATTGAATGACTGACTACAAACTATTATCAGCTGAAAGGCTTATCAACAACAACCGCCCTGTATAAAAGGACACTGCCGGGTGTGCACGCCTCATTCCTGCGGTGATCACTGAAGATCCCGCCTCGGTACGACAACGAAGACACCACATCGAAATCAAGAACAGCTGTGGGCTACCGACACGGATCATCGACTCTGATGAAGACGAAAACGTGGAAACGTTAGCCGAGTAAATAATTTTATCAACTTTATGTAAGCTCAACAACTTAAAAACATGAGGATAATGACCTTCAAACATGACACTAAACATTCGTAGAGCGATAGAGCAAAGTTTGTTTTCGCAAGTCTGCCTAGTCTTCAGGTTATCAAGTATTATCGAGTTGTCGAAAAACCAGTATTGTTTTTAGCCCATAATTTGCTGCTTCGTAGTTGCAAGATGCTTTTGAGTGCCAAATCAAAAAGTGTAACAGATCTTCCGCCTGCAAGGTCAATCGGATTGTGAAGCTCAACATTTCTAACTGTAAGCGAGGTGTGAATAAATCTACGTCAGTAATAAGTGTGGTTGGGGAAGAGAATTAGTCTTAAGACAGCTTCTCTTTGACTCATATGTGCCGGCAGGAGCGAAACATGGGATAGTCATAGAATGTCTTAATAACTCGAAAGACCGACTTTCTATGAACCTCGGCATAGATAGTTGATATATTTATTTATGTGATCTTATAAACTGATCTTCTTAAGTTGACGCGAGGTTGGTACAGATCTTCGTCGTCGTTGTTTTTGATGTTATTGATCGATGGCTGACGTTTCGGCGACTTCGCCTTGCTCAGAGCCTGGACGTACTTTATGTTAGAATACTTTTTGTTATTCGGTGGAAAAGAAGTTTAACTCCCCGAAAATGACAATGGCGCGTTCGTTCCCCACCGCAGACACCTGCGGTCCGGAGTTTTGCAAATATCTCAGCAATCTTGTGGATGTTGAGATATTTGCAAGAGTTGAACCACGGGCGAGAGCGAACGCAATGGCACAGTATGTAGTACGTGAGCCCCCGGAGAGGGAAATCGTAGTTTGATCTGGCCCGGTGTCCAAGTTTTGCGAATGTCTCAGGATCGTTGTGGTTGTAATTCACATAATACCCTGCTGTGAAAAGTTATAATAGAGAGAAAACAAAAGGTGAACGTTGTCATCTTCATTTTACGTTCCGTTAGTCGTTGGCAGCTGTGTGCACAGCGAGTTCAGGTGGGCTTTTGCAGTACTATTGTTTTTCTTAGGATCGGTTGCTGTTTTTTTGGCTAGTCGACTCTTCTAATCCATTTGTTGTAGGTTTTTCTCATAACTGGACTGGCCCATGTGTAGATATGTTTCATAGTCTCACGAGCGGACTTCCTTTTAGGTTTGCCGAACCTGATTCCGAAGAAAACATTTCATTCGAGGATTACACGTCTAGCAGCGGAATCCCAGTTGTGAAGAATGGGACTGTGTTAAAACTTGTGGAGCGACTAACATATCATCAGTGAGTAATGAATTCGGGTGATAAGCCCTCATTGCAGCTGCTGTAGTGAAGCAGTTTTTTTAAAATATTTGCTTTTCTTTTTAGTAGACCAAATGAGCTTATAGTTCATTCCCATATGAAATTTCGACAAAACGTCATAGTTAAGAGGAAAATTCACGGAACATGGGGACACGAGAATTCTCTTTTTCTGAATTTGTTGAGGTTTTCCATACGAATGTAGAATTAAAGAGACATCTATAGTGTGTAGCGCAGTGGTTATAGGCGCACTGCAATACACATGGGGTCGGTCCCGCACCCAAGGTTCACCAAGCTTTTCGTCCTTCCGGAGTCGGCAAATTGGTACCAGACCGTCTGGGCTGTTGGCTACACTTACTCAATACATCGGTAGACGACCGCGAGACACTGTTTAGGCCAGTTATACATCCAGTCACCTCATATGATGCTTATTGAGTACGAACACATGGCGGGTCCCTCAAGGATTTATCAACGCCGAGAGCTTTACTCTTTTATATTGATTTATATTATCTTATAAACTGATCTTTTTTAGCTGATGCGAGGTTGGTATAGGTCTTCGTTGTCGTTGTCGTTGTTGTTGGTGTTGTTGGTCGATGACTGACGTTTCGGCGATTTCGCCTTCCTCTGAGCCTGGACTTATTTGATATTAGAATACTTTAATTATTTGGTGGAAAAAAGGCTGGAGTATTAATGAAGATCAAACTTTTAAATAGGTGGTGGGTTAGGATGCTATGGTCAAATGTAGTTCTACGCCATGTTGAACACAAAGGCTACGCACCGTAATGTTACGAGTAGGACTGGCCCACGCGTTGTTCACATGGGGTCGCGAGCAAGCCACACCTCGGAGTCAAAATGTCAGTTTGAAATTGGGCGCCAGGTCAAGTGTGATAGTGAGGCATTCGTCTTTCCGGGTCACCTTTGGATTTTTGAAAGTTATTCAAAACGCCTCAAGAGTTTTGCGCGTTGTTTTTGATTCCTGCACTAGGATCCGCACATTCACTTCAAAATCATCGCCGTTGTGCTTTTGTGCCCTATGCGCACCTAGAGTAGTGGTTAGACGGATTTTAGCTTTTCCATCTAGATGTTCTTTTATGCGGACACAAAGCGGTCTACCCATTTCCCCAATATATTCCTCGCCGCATGCGTTACATGAGATTAAGTATATTATACCAAAACTCATGCAATCCCCGTCTCTCCCGTTAGGATAGATCATACAGTTTTCTGAGCTGCACAAACGATCATAGAGACGGTTGCGAACTAACTGACGGTGTAGAGTATTGGGTCAGTAATCGTTACATAATTTTCAAAACCACTTTTTCTTAAGCATCGCTTAATAGGGTAACTAACTTCATTTGATATGAAGGGTAGCTTAAAAGGGATCTTACTTACTTCCAAAACATTATTTTGGGAAACTACCCTACGTTTTTCTCCAACACGAGTGGTTTCTACTTCGTAGCCATTGGAAATGGCAATTTTTCGTGCCATGTTTTACAATTCCTTTCTTTCCTCTTCTCCTGTGCACACATTTTTAGCCGTACGATACATGTTTTTGACAAGTGCTTTTTTCATGTGTGAAGAATGTGAGGAAAGGTAATGAACTGGTATGTTTTTACTACTTGGCTTACGATACCATTTTGTTACATAGCCACTTACTGAGAGCCTTATTTGGATGTTTAAGAATGGAAGCCAGTTCTCGGTAGGTTTTTCTCGTGTAAATTTTATATACTCTGACTGTCGGTTTAATAATTCAAAGCACTCATCCAATCTGTTCTTGTATGGAACAGACGATGAAGCAGTCGTCTATGTATCGACAATAGAGTAAGAGTCGGTGATCGAGAACTGGAGCTTCCACCTTAGACAAGAAAATGATGGCAAGGCTTGGTGCTAAACGCTGTCCCATGGCCAACCCTCTAATTTGTGCAAAATATTTTCCAGACCACCTAAAGATTGAACAACTAAGACACTGTTTTAAGAGAGTCATTAGTTGCGCCATCGACGAATCGCACATTTTTATTTTCTTTTCGTGCTCTACGAGGAACTCGAGAATGGCTTGCATTGCGGAGTCATTGGACACGTTGGTATAAAGTGAAGTAACATCGAATGACTCCATTACATGCGTGCTGTTTGGTTGTGTTCAAATTCGTCAAAACACTCCTCTAGGTACGCATAGGGCACAAAAGCACAACGGCGATGATTTTGAAGTGGCTATGCGGATCCTAGCGCAGGAATCGAAAACATCAACGCGCAAAACTCTTGAGGCGTTTTGGATAAATTTCAAAAATATTTTTATAGGGCTAAAATTCGTGTAATTTTCGTCTTTAGTCATTCCTTAAAGGTAAGGAATCTACGCATTCGACTTCATTAAGCATCGTCTTAGGTATATGGATTCTTATTTGACCTATAAAACGACTTGCGGTGGCCTACCAATGCATCATTTCAGTGCTGCTACGCTCCCAGGTAAATCTTGTGTCATTTTGCCCACTTTGGAAAGGTTAAAGACTGCGTGGTCGACCCAATGACCACGTGCGTAAGAGCACCTCTAACCACTCCGTTACACGCGCCCGATATTAATATTGCTTGATTTATACCCTTAATGGATCATTGCAGACGAATCATCATCATAAGGTTTCGTATGAAGGTTACCACAATCTCCACCTGATTTGTTCTTTATTGGCCGCAACAATGCTGAGATATTTGCAAAACTCGGAACACCAAACCAGCTTCGAACCCCTAGTTATTCTTACGTGGAGCTTACATGTTATTTCACATAATACCTTGGCATGAAAGAATAGTAGGCAGTAAATAAAAAGGGTAAGCATTGCATTCGTTGGTTGAGTACAATTCCTGCTTGAGATCTCCAAATACCATTCCATTCGAATCCCATGTTTCGGTCACGCTGGCACATGTGAGTGGAGGGGAAACCGTCGTTCGACTAAGTTTCTTCTGCAGGACTTGGTGAGTCCTGGGAGCTGGATGAGCCAACGACCACCTTTCATTGCAGAGCACCTCTAACAGCTGCGCCAAATGCGCTTCCATATATACATGTATACGTATGAATGTATACATATGTACGTATATGGAAGAATATATACAATATATATGTATATGTACATCTATATTTACACGTATACATACGCTCACTTATATATATGGGGCTGAATATTTGGCGGAAAAATGTACCAAGGAAAATTTTCGAATCTCGTTCTAACCTTTTTTAACAAGGTCATTTTTAAAAGTCATGGCTACTTGTATCGATTTTCATTGTCATGTTTTTTTTGCAGGTACACAGATAACAAGTATGTACAGACATTCCTTATTTCGTACCGATCATTTTGTACGCCGAGCGAGTTGCTTGAAATGCTTATTGAGCGTTTCAATGTACCAATCCCTAATAAACTCATCCAAAACCAAGAGATGAAGTCAGTTTCAATTTTCGATTCCTCAACTTTCTGTCTTTTTTTAAATGTCATTGATTTGAAGAGGTGGTCCACTAGCTGGTCGATATGATACGGTACAATCCCACGGCTTATCAGGTGGCTTGATGTTTTCTGCGTTTAATGAACAAAGTTATCAGCGATTCAGGAAAGAATATGAACGGCCAATACAGAGAAGGTGAATGTGTTGCTTTAACTGAATGTTGTTTGGGACAATGTGATGTATCAATAACATTGGTTCTGTCATCCTAAGGAAAACGCTTTTATAGGAAAAAATCCTTGGGATTGCTTCACGCAAGGTTTTGGTGATATGCTGAGCATTAAGCACTCTTGTTTTATCAAGATGAAATTCTGGATTTCTGGACCACATGATATGTAGTTCTCTGGGTTTTTCGTTTCAAAACTTTTTTAACATGGAGGCATATAAACAAAGGGGGATGTCTTCCAATGGGACACGGTGGTGTTCCCAATGCATCGTTCACGTTTGCAGCTGTTGCCCTTGATCCTCGCTTTAAACATATTTGAACTTGAAAGAACACTGTATACAAACTGTGTATAAAACTACTGCGATAGCAAAAAGTTTCTTACCTGAATCTATGGAGTTCTGAACTCGTGAGGCACTTTATTAATCAAGAAGTTATCTAAGTTGTCGTGAAATCGACGTCGTCGCCAAAGGGTTAATCATGATGTTGGCCATTCTAATCTGAACAGTTTTACCAATAAGGTGCACGTCTATTAAATTCGCTAACTTGGAACTCCGATATTCTTCACGCGGTGAATTTTTCAAAGGATTTGGTTGCCGCAGTGATAGGAAATATGATAGGTGGTTGGCAAGAGGTCTAGTGAGTGTGTTGACTGTAACAGGGTTTTCTAACCCATCTTAAGTTTTGCAACGTCAGTGCTGTAATAGGTAGTTGAGCACTGTCGTACAAAACGATTGGACCTTTTCTGCTGGCCAAAGCAAGGTGCGTGGGCTGCAATTTTTGACGCACTTCATCGATGCCGAAAGAGTGCTCTGCTGTAGTTTTTTCGACAGGACTTAGGTCGTCAAGGATTAACCCGGCCGACACCAAATACTTGCTACTACCTTCTTTGGTGCAGACTTGGCTTTCTTAAGTGTTTAGGAAGTGCACCTTCATGCAAGCGCTGCAGTGAATGTCGTCAGTTCCCACATAGGATGCACTTTTCGTCGCACATCTCAATCCGGTTGAAGAATGGATCGTTTTTGTTGTGTAAAATGAAGGCTTCATAATGGCTTGCATTTAATTAGTGTGGTACCATCTTGAGTATTTTCACTTTCACAGTGCCTTTTAAATGATAAACACTCGTTGCATGGCGAGTGTTGAGTCCTTATCTCTGCAATAGTTTTCTGTAGCGTCACTTTCGGTTGTCGTCTTTAGATGGTCGTTTTCTACTGTTACTGATAGCCCATAACCTCCCTCCCTGAGACTCGTCTACGGCACTAATTTTTTCGAACCTTTTGCGTACCTTATGTTTGGTACCGTTTCCCTGTAGCCCATGCCGCTATGAAACTTCGGGTTACTTGCAAAGGAGAACGACCAAGTTTGAACTCACCGAGGAAAACGATGCGGTTTTCATTTTTCCAGACCGTTATTCTAACAGCCTTGAAGTTGTTATAAAGTAAGTATTTGAGGTTTTAAAATGGCATGCATTAGTGCACCAACATTGTACGCTGGAGATATTTTTCTTTTTTTTCCTAGTTTCGCAGCGACGAAAATAACATTTTATTAGTTTTACTTATTGCTTTACTCTACCAGTAGAGTAAAGGGTTGTAATATAACCACAACGTTGCTGAGATATTTGCAAAACTCTGGACCGCAGGTGTCTATGGTGGGGAGCGAACGCGTTATTGTCCTTTCCGGGGAGTAGCGTGTTCACCACCACACCATGCGGGTCCTTTGTTTCACCTGTCTCTCAGCTATATCTATCGATCTTTGCCACAGCAATCACCTGTCAGCGGGATTGATCTGGGGCGCCCAAATCGGCATAGAACCCAGTTAAGCTGCGTTGGTACAGAGGTCATTTTGATGATCTTGTATAGAAGGAGAATTCTCTGCATTTTATTGCGCAATTCTATGTTTCAGAGTGCTGAGCGTTCTTCATCAATGGGTGAAAAATCACTGGTATGATTTCGAGAACGATCCGACCTTACTGGAAGCACTCGAGCGGTTTCTGCAAGCGTCTTGCGACCAGAAGCTTACCAATCAACATAAGAAGTTCTGCAAGAACATCATTGTTCGTTTTGTTATCTGTTCTTTTGCCATTTAACATTGTTGACACATCATATATTTTTCCTACCGAACAGTTTTAGAACGTGATAGAAAAGAAGCAGAAGCAGCAAGAATTTGAGGGTCACGTGAACACAGCATTCGACTTCGAAGATGCTAGCGTATTTCAACCAAAGAAACCAGAGGTGAACATGATTTAGTGTTGAAATATTAAGTGCTCTATTATTTAGCGCTGGATTTATGTTAGTGCAAGTAAAATCGTAGTTGTTTCAGCCTGTTTGGCACGTAGCTAAACAAGGCGATGTTGCCAACTATGACCTGCTAACACTGCATCCTCTCGAAATAGGGAGGCAGGTAGGGTTGTGATTTATATTTCTTGTTAAGACACTTGACATAATGATTATTCATTGGGTGGATTAATATTTAGCTTATTCGGTTTTGCTATCCAAAAGGTGAGTGAAGATGAGAAGATCGATGTTTCGTATATTACTTATTTGATACTTGAATGGCCCGTCCTCATAGGTTCTGCGGGCCCCAACATAATCTCCATTTTTCGGAAATTTGTTGGCTAAGCCATTATAGTTCCCTGGAGTCCCGGGTCAGCCTGGCCAAAGTCTGCCCCAGGTCTTCTCCTGCACAGACAGTTGCAGCCCTTGTGGATCAGAGGGAGATTTACCACCATGCGACTTTGATACCAGGACGGTGGTGGATCCTGGTATTGGTTTACTCGTAGCTAGGTTTCCTGATGGAAACGCCGGACTCTTTCTCAGCATGAGAGATCCTGCCAGGGGTGAACCCCCGCTGTACATCGCAGTCCGACGCCCAGGAACACCTCTCAGCAACGATGAGGCGGTAAACTGCTGGGAGGGATCGTGTATTGATTGGGTGAAATATTAGATGGGTTGTTATGCTACACAAGTAGTATGCATTCTGAAGTGTTCGTGTTTTATCTTTCGAATAATTCTCAAATCTCCACTGTGGCGTTGCAGCAACGTTAACACATTCGAGAGGACGCGATTCACCTATGATTTCAACATGGATAGGTAAAGTGGACAGTACTAATCATATATGATACAAATTCTTTCTTGGTGCTTACTTTGCCACACAAAGTTTCTTCTTTGCTTTTTGTATTCAGTCAGTAGCGCTTATCCACCAGAGGTGTGTCGGGCGTCATCCGAGGAAAGGTACTGTGTAAACTCAGTAATCTGCACGAGGCTGTTTTCCGAACAAGTTTTTTCGTCGATTTAGTCTCAGGACGATAGATTATTGCTGATAAGGAGTGTACCAAGATGTCTATGGTGTTACGGCACAGTATGTTTATTTGTTCCTTGTAGCGGCCCTGAGCTATTTCGCACGCTAGAGTTACATGAAGGGCGTTACACTCCTGGTTAGAAGGTTTTCTTTTTTTTACACTGTTCCGTAGAAGGTTTCACGTGCTCTCCTCATCATGTTCTGTCAAGGAGAGGTGGAACGTTCTCACGAGTAACTTATCCAAATCTTTCGGGAGTAGATCACCTGTATCACCTGTCGTCCCGTTGATCGTCGACTGATTCGAGGGCGCGCCAGTAAACCTTCCATTTCTCACTGTCGCATGCTGTAGCCCAATGGGTTCTGCGCGCTCGCGCGCTTTATAACGCTGAGCGGTTCTTCATCCTGCCTACGTACCGACCAGGTTTCTTATGCATATGTTAGAGGAGGGGAGAATCGTGGAGTCGAAAAGAGTGAGCATGGAGGCGGATGTTCTTTGTTCTCTTCACTATATCCTCTATGCTTTTAAAAACTCCTCAAGCCGTTCGCTTAACCCCCTGCCCCAACTCGATCTAGGTCCTTCGTCATTTTCATTTCCCGACCTAGATACACATAACGGGAACATTTATTATAGGCAGAGATATTCGTTCCATTGAGCTCGAATGGGGCGTAGGAAACCAATCCGTTCCTCATGAAAATCGTTCTTGCGAGATTTATTCGAAGATCAATCTTCCCATAAGCGTTATCAAAATCGACGACTATTCGTTCCGCTTGGCTATTGTTTGGTGTTATAAGAACGATGTCATCAGCAAAGCGAAGATGGTGTAATTGTCAACCATCGATTTTCAGTGCCAGTAAATAATTTTGGCGAGATAGTATCGTCTTGTTCAAACCCTCCTTTTACGTTGATGTTAATATCATCATGGAATGGTAGCATTTTGCTTGTGAAATTTTCGTATAGCTCTCGAACGATTTCCACTGAATAAGGCCTCTGTGGGCGTCCAAGGCTTCTATGACTGCTTCTTTATCAGCTGAGTCAAAATCTTTCTTTAAATCGATGAAAGTATGACAGAGCGGTCTCCCTATACACTCGCGATACTTAAATGAGTCTTGTTACCGTATAGATGTGGTCACTCGTACTGAATCCTTTTAGAAACCCTGATTGCCTACATGGCAGTCTTTCGTCCAGTGTTCTGTCAACCGTTTTTGGGATGGATCCAGTGAAGAGTTTGTAGACGACAGACAGGAAGTAGGTTGGGCTATAGTTGCCGATATCGTGGATATCGCATTTGAACAATAGCACAGTCTTGTGGGTCTTCCATTGGACAGGAACCTTGCATTCCGATATTCTAGCGCGTAACGTTTGAAGAGTAGAGCCTATGTGTTCTGGAGGACAGGCGGAAGGTTTTTCAGGTGTTCGGGTTCTATTCTATCTTGGGTAGGTGTTGTTCGAGTGTTCAACGACGAAATGGCATGTAGGATTTCGGAAAGAACCAGTGGTACAACATATCCATCCTCCTTTATTTCATATAACGGAGGGTGGGCGTGGCTATCGAGGAGATCTGAGTAGTATACGTGAATGATTTTCTTTATTGCCTTTCTGGACGCTGTAACTGTTCTGTCTAAGCGTCGGAGTGCAATCATCTTGGTCTTGTAATTGGCGAAGCTTCGGTGGGCTTTGCGGATGCTTTTCCCAGGTTTTGTAGCTTTGACTATTACTACTGCTCTTCTCTCTTTAAGATCTTCTTTTATCGCCTTTCTGTATTGTTTCGCAAGTTCGGACGTTAGTTCGCCGTTGCCTGCAGCTCGTGCGATTCCACGCTGGCGTATCAGCTCGAGTGTTTCTGGAGACAGTCTCTTGGTGACTTTCGAACTCTCAGATTTCATAACGCTAAGTGAAGATGTTGGATAAGCCGGTTGTATTCTTCGTCGATATTATCGACAACGGTATCTTCCCAAAAGCCGACGAAAGAATTGAATAAGTCCAACTTTATGGTGGTTCTGGGACTTCGGTTTTGAAATTTAGCGACTTTTTCTCCTTTCCGCGAGAAATAGAATCTTGCAACAAGGAGACAATGGTCTGATCTCATGTAGAATTTTGGGACAACGACGACGTCAGTTAGGCAAAACCTTCTATTTACTATGATGTGGTCTATTTCGTTATGGTACTCTTCACTGGGAGACTCCCACGTCCAGCGTTGAGGGTGGGGCTTCTGGAATTGCGAGTTACCATGGATGGTTTCGGTCGCCATGATAAACTGAGACAACCGCTCATCCTGTTAGTTCCATTCTAATCCGTGGGTCCCAATGTGACGTTCTTCATAATAGCATGTCGGATTTCGAAAGTGAAAGCCGGTAAGGCAACATATGCATACTCCTTAACTTCATAAAGGGGAGCAATTGGGAACTGTTGAAGGGAAACGAGTAGTAGACATGAGTAATTTTCTTACTTACCTTTCTGGAAACTGCAACTGTTCCCCCTGGGCGTGGGAGTGCGGTAACCTTGCTTTTGTAATTAACGAACATTTGGCGGATTTTGTGAATACTCTCCTCAGCCTCAGCAGCTTCGGCCTTTACTGCTGCTGTTTTCTGTTTGAGGTCTTCTTCTATAGCACTCCTCAGTGTTTTACAAGGTTGGTCGTGAGAGGACGACTGCCAGTGGCTGGTGATGCAGTTCCATATTGGCATATCAGTTCGGTTAACTTTGGACACAGATGTCTTTTGGTGAGTTTCGAACGCTTAGTTTTCATAGTGCTAGCGTGAAGTTGTTGAGTGAGCCAATCGTGTTCCTCGTCGATGTTATCGAGAACGGTGTCTTCCCATCAGCCGACTGATCAAGTGAATAAGTCCTAGTTTATGATGGTTTGGGGACGTCGGCTTTTGGACTTAACGGCTTTTTTCCTCTCCACAAAAAGTGAAATCTTGCACGAATGAGACGATTGTGTGATGCCGTTTAGAATTTTGGGACAACAGCAACATCGGTTAGTCAAAACTTTTGATTTGCTATGATATGATCTATTTCTTTATGTCACTCACCATTAGAAAGCAACATCCAGCGTTTAGAGTGGGATTTCTGGAATTGCGAGTTACAATGAGTAGTCTTGGTCATCATAATAAACTCAGACAGCAGCTCACCTAGTTCGTTCTGTTCTAATCCGCAGGTCCCAATGTGACGTTCTTCGGACGTTCTTCTTGGTCCAGTTTTGCGTTGAAATCTCCAATGATGACCTTGAAGAAAGTATGGTTTTCTCTGTAGAACTTCTCCAAGTCTATGTAGAACGTTTCGACTTCTTCTTCGTCATAGTTTGATGTCGGCGCGTAAACGACGAAGGTTGTCGAAGCCAGAATTGATCCACATCTTTTTAACCCCAAATGTCCCATTCGAGTTGTTATTTGTTCGAATGGATCGATGTTCATGGCCAAACTCATGCTGACGAGTACGCCCACGCCGCCGACTTCTCTGTTGTCGCATGTTCCGAGGAACTGTTCTTCACCAGTGTGAAAGCCGGCGTTTAATGGGTAATATTTCACGTCTCAACCAGTCCAATGACGTCGTGCCTTATCGTTCTTGCCTGCAGGGATCTCTCGAGAACTCAGATGCAAGTAAGCGTGAATTGTAATTACAGATCGTCACCTTAATCCTATAAAATAGAGACAGTCTAGAATATGAATGCGTCGTTTTCTTGTTCAGCAATCGCGAGGTTGCTAAACAGCATACATTTACTTCCATAGAAAAGCACAATACAATACAACACTAGCTGACGTTTCGGCAGTATCGCATTCTTCAGAGCCGCCGAGTCGTCAACCATATGCGACTATAATCAGCTGTTCTAAACTTCCTCATTGGAAGTCACGAAAAATCGGCTCTGAAGAAGGCGATACTGCCGAAACGTCAGCTAGTGTTGTATTGTATTGTGTTTTTCTTTGGAAGTAAATGTATGCTGTTTAAAAACCTCGACATTGCTGAACAAGAAAACAACGCATTCATATTCCAATGCCGAGGTTAATAGAAAGTCGATCCTGGGAACAGTCTAGAATGTAGAATAGAATCTAGAAGAAGAAGAGGAAAGAAATACAACCCAGAAGTATGAGCCAAATCGGCACAGCAGAAAAACAGGGAGTACACTCCTTAGATCCACCTGCGTCTCAGAGAAGCAAGAAGTCGCTTTTGATCCGAAATCAACACCTTTGTCCGCCACCTGGGAGCGCGTTATGTTACGTCGCGACTAACCGGCATGCGATATCTATGAATCAGACCCCTAGTAAAGAGTGTACGCCTTATTTGTTGTGAAGGATTTCAGTTCGCCTCTACTCTACTTCCCAGTTACTTTAGTCATGCTTTTAGCCACGTATACTCGCAGGACAATATCTTATTATGTGATAGCACATTCACGCAAACGTGAAGAAACAGGGGATTCTATCCCGTAAATTAACCTGTGCCTCAGAGCAAGTAAATAATACCCATTATTTCGGCGTATCGATGACCGAGATACGCATCATGTAGTCTTTGGCCGAGTAACTGTCTAGGAACCACCACAATGTCTAGTTTTTAATTTGCTGCCTTTTGTTTCTTCAAGCAGGATGTTATGTGAAATACAATCACATTCATGTTGAGATCTGAACAAAACTCAGAACCAACGTTGAGCATCGGATCCGCTATTGTTCTTTCCGGCAGTTCACGTGTTATCCACTACACCACCGAGGACGTTGGTTTGTGAATCTCTAGGAAGAGATCGCAGATTCGAATCTGACCTGTGGTCCTAGTTTTGCAAGCATCTCAGCAATATTTTGGATGTTTTCGAATCCTTGATTTGAAATTGGTAGTTGAAGTCTTTCACTTAGTAATTTAAGAAATCAAGAGGTGAAGAAAGCATTAACTTCAGTTACGTTTCACCTCTTAAAGTCACATTCCAACGAACTGTTATAGCAGAGAGATGCTTACTATTTCTTTTATTCCTTACTACTTTTACAGTTGACATTGCTTCACTTTGATCTCTATCGGGCTATTAAACCGATCGAGTTGGTTGGTGCGGCGTGGACAAAGCACGACAAATATAGAAGGAGTCCTCAATTGCTAAAGCTCACCGATCATTCAACATTAGTAAGTGTCTTTCCATGCACAATGTGAAGGTATCTGTACATAACTGTTCAGCTACGTTTAGTTATCCACACCATTTTCTATCAAAAATAGAAAAATGGATAGAAAGATCCATTTATTATTTCCAGCTAACTTATTGGGTGTCACGTTCTATTGTGGAAACGGAGTCACTAGAAGAACGAGTTGCAATGTTCACTCGTGTATTAGAGGCGAGTATCGGTTTTTTTCCCTTTTACTTTCATTACCGTTATCGCCAATTGCATTTTTTAGTTTTATGCTTGCCTACTTTATAGTTGTCATTTCTTATGCAGTCGAAATTCTTGATGGAATTCGGGTGCAAAAATAAACATTGGGCTTTATAATTTTTTAATTTGGAAAACTAACTTTTATTTACATTCTCGATATTAAGATTTTTGATAGAAAATGGTGTGGATAACTAAACGTAGCTGAAAAGAACTGCATTCCTTCCTTAAATGTTGGATGGGAGACAACAGTTTTTGTTGAGTGGATGTTTCTAGCAGCCATAAACTTGCTTTCTTGAATTGGAATAAATGCATTTGCATCTTTGCGTTCTCATTAAGACTTCTGAAAAGCTTACGTTTTTCGATGTTTTTATCGTTTTCATCTTCATGTAAGGTTAATTTCCGTGCATTATGAAGAATTGGCAATCACTTTTTTATATGGGGACCTTCATCGCGCTATATTAATGATACGGAGTTAGTTTTATACAAATTTTGCTTCTCTGTGTCATTCAATGACATTGGACATCTACTATTCTTTCATCGTTCAGGTAATGTCTGTGTTTGAAGAGTTGCACAATTTCACAGGACTTGTTGCCTTCCAGTCGGCTTTAAATTCGGCATGCGTTCATCGGCTTTCCTGGTGTTGGGAGGTAGGTTGGATAGGATTTGAATGCTTTGAAAACTAAGAACTATTTGCATGTAATGAAAATAATGTTGTGGCGGTGAGATCCCAACTTTGTATGAATACCAAGTTGTTGTAGATATTAGTTCTTGTAGCTGCCACGCGGAACTTTTTCCGTAACTGTCGTGAACAACCTCGAGTTTGGGTTACAGTAATTTATAGCAATAACAACTGTGCAATAATAATATCTGGTATGTGGCGATATATGGTTAAGTGGGAGCGAGATTGAAATGAGATTATGAGAATGAGATTATACGAGCGAGATTGAAATGAGAACAAGCGATGCAGTTGAAGGAAGTTAGGTGGACACTGGAGTTGGAGCACTGAGGAACTGAGAGATTGGATGAACACAGGACGAACGCTACGTACGCTTGAAGACCAATGCCTCGTGGGCTGCTTGTATTCCTTCTGTAGTGGGCGGAGCTTTGCCAGAGGGAACTAAAGACAGTGCCTAGAGAGAGGTTCTAAAGGTTTCTTCTACTAGCACAATCTGATAGGGCTACATGTGAAAGGGTGCAACTGCTTGTTCGGAAACTTCTTTGGGACGGCAGATGCTGGAAAGTACATTCAGCTGGCTGCTGCTGATTCAGTGCCCGAACTGCCGGACAAACAAGAGCAGTTTATTGAAAGAAGTTGTAGAATCCCTTTCCAGTCACCTGCGAGGCAACTGCATGAGATAGTGCCTAAGAAGCAATTAAGAGGAGATGCGATGATAGATTTTAGTTACAGGTGAACAAGAAGCACACACCAGTATAGAAAATTAGGAATAAGGTCACCGGAAGCAGTATTTGAGATGTTTTACATAGAAAACATTCCTATGTTGGTGAAAAATGTTCTCTATAAATAAGTAGTCCAAATCAAACTCAATTTTTTTTCAAAATTTTCTTATATTCGTTTTCCATCGTATGTGGTTCGATGAAGTGGAATCTCTTTCATTTTTTTTTCCACTTCTTTAAGTTCGATGGTTATACGCGTTCTAATGGTATTATAAAAAGGAAGACTTCGTCGAAATCCGACTTTTGTCAGAATTCTTCCTTTTAGCATTGTGATAAGAAAATTAGTGCCAAACTTGGCTGGGTGCTAAAAAAACACTGACCTGATATCGGTGGCCCACCGCAAGTCACTGTATAGACCAAATATCCTTTTAGTAACCTCTATAATGCTCAATAAAGTCGAGTGCGTGGTGAATTTCCCAGGAATTAGTAAAAGCTGAATGCTTATCCTTACTTCATTTTTTTTGAAGCTGGGTGCTTATCATCTGTACTCATTCGAGCAACTTATCGGTGCGATGTTGTGACAAATGGGTTTTAGTGATCCTTCTTGACTCTTTTTTTTTGATATATGTGGTAAAAAAAAGTACTTTTAGAACTCTTTTATCTTAATGCACTAAGCATAGTAGTCTTTTCGTTAGTAAGAGCCGCCCACTCATATAGTTAAGCCTAAGTGTGTCCTCTGGGTAACCACCTTCTGACTTGATCAATTTTTGACTTTCAATCGAAAAGGGTTAGAAAAAGGGTCAGGTAGACGCTTAACAGATTTCCAACGCTAGAAATGATTTAGAGGTGGCCATATCCATATTTTATGGCATGGTTATTATGTAGGAAATCATCCATTCATCAATGATCTCTCCTGTGTTCGATTGTATGTTTTGCTATAAAGTGTTGAACAATAGTTTCTTGCATCACTAAGTCGAAGAAGGGTGGCCATTGCCACTTCCGAAATCATCAATTTTCTTCCAGCAGGCATGCAAAATCGTATGTTTTATAAATCGGCATCACGGCGTACGCTGTAACTGAGCAGCGCCAGCAACTTTTCTTTTTTTTTTTCACGGAGGGTTGTGAACATTAGGGACACTTTTTTTTAGCGTCTCGATCATGAGAAAGTGAAGACCTACGATCGTTTCACGAAACTATGTGAACCGCGCTATATTGAGATGCAGAAGCGGATACAGTCCATCAATCCGCCATGTGTACCATTTTTTGGTGCGTTAGTTTACAGGGATTATTAGTTATGTATTTATAATAAGTCTGACCTTTGATTTAGCAATTCATTCTTTTTTTGTTTTTTTTATTTTTTGGACAACTTCGATATTTTTAGTCATAAATAATTCGAAGTTAGTGGTGCTCGCACCAATTGTTCTTTTGAGCGGTGAAGGTTATCTGCTCATGGATCGTCTAGTCAGCTGTTTTCGTTATATAAATGAATGTTTTGTTTGGCGTTCTCTATGACTCAACCGGAAGCGACTTTTCGTTTTCCGTCGGAAACGAGTTTCTCTTCGTAAACGTTACGTTCTCAAAGAATACTATTTAATATAATTTTTTTAAAATAAACTCATTTTCGAGGATTTGCAGTTAGGTCCGAATCTTAAGTGACCGGTGAAGGGTACTGATATTGATTATAGTGGAGACTTAATGTCAACGGTTAAATGTTTTATTTTTAGGGTTTTCTTTAACTCCTAAGAAATGTTGATGTGATGTCATTTAATAAAGGTGTATTGCTTATCGCTAGGTTCGGTTAATTCGGAAAAGTTTGAAAACTTTTCTTGACAAAAACTCGTGACTTAATGTTAATGGTAGGAATAGAATTTCATCATTAGTCAATGTCTTGTGATGATTCCGGAGAAAAACAGCTAAATTTTTCGCTATATACCAAATGGAAGTTGTGAATTTTGCCCACTACACCCGCTGAACCATGTTTTTCCGCTTTTTTCACTCAGATATCGTTAAATATACTGCTCAGATAATATTTCGCATTTGTTTTGGAATAAAATGTACAATTTTTGTATGAAATACAACCACAATGATGCTGAGGTATTTGTAAAAGTTCCGACAACAGGTGTCTGCATCGAACACTTGGTTGAATTTCACGTGATACCTTGCCATGAAAAATTGTAGTAGCCAGTAAATGAAAAGTTAACATTGTATATTTTTTATACATATATTATTCAGGGCACTACCTTTCGAACATATTCTTCTTTGAAGCTGGTAACAGTACGTTCGTGAAGTCGCCTGGTGGTACTACAAGTGAGGCACTGCGTTCAGTGAGTCGTGTTTTCAAAGATTTTCAGAATGACTTGTCGATAAATCGATTAGCATTGGTTCCGCTGAGTATTCCCTAGTGTCAAAATGCGATATCCGAGAGGAAGCCAGGGTCTTTATGAAACATTGTGTCCTACCCCAGTTTGAGAAGTTCAACATTTCCCTCCGGTAACGCAGCTAACAGTAAACTAGTTCCAAGAATTGCTTCCATATTGGCAACTACCTGTAAAATAATGACGACTTGGTGAAATGAGAGCACAAGGTTAGTAACTCAAGAGAAAGAAAATCTTGACCAATCGACAGATTACTAATCAAATAGAAATCAAACTCTGCTGATACACGCACGATCCTCCGTGATTCGTGAACATGAGCTTTTCAACTCTTCAAGTAAGTAAGTAGTTAATAGTTGAGGAAACTCAGGAGAGCAGAACATATCGTTGGCGTCAAATATTAGTTTTCCATGAGTAGCAACATACTCATCCATGGATTACGCCTGAAGAGCCATTGTGCAGCTCACATCTACATTCACTATTCCAACAATTTTATAGTCTGTGGTTGTTAGAGCAAGCATGTGGTAGTGCATCTGACTGGGATGGACACTATAAACTTTTCACCAATAAAGGCATCTTTATATTCTTTCAGTAATTTTTGATAAATAGCTCATGGTGAAATCTCTAACACGAGTAGATAACTTTATAGCGTTCCAGAAATCTTATGTTTTATGTTCCACTTCTTTATTTGTTTGGAGCAATGCCATAAATAACTCTGTGGTTAGCTGCCATATTCGGGAAGAAACAACAGTCTACTCGCCTATGCTGTAGAGCTTGCCATCTAAATTTGAGTGATTTTCAAAGTGATCGATAAGTCTCGCTCCATACATGATTCTTCATCTCCTTAGATCTTTAAGTGGAAATGTCATTCCTTAGCACCAATATTCATCCGTAAATTGACATATTTGTTACAGGACGCATGTGACCAGCAGTCTCCACCTGCATCGAATAAGAAGGTGCTGGTTCAGTTCTTGAAGTGCCGCCGTATATCTGATCTGATTCGCGAGATACAGATGTATCAAAATCAGCCATACGCTTTACAAGTGGAGAAGAGTATCCGGGTAAGTTGTTTTGCTTTCAGAACAATGTCATAGTGATCTTATAGCCTTGTGGTGAAAAATTTTTCGTACTGATTTTTCATTCATTCTGTCAAAAATTTAAAAAGTTTGATTTTTGACAGAATGCCTGGTATGAAAAATTGAGTTCTACGAATACGTGGAAAGTCGGATTTCTAGTTGTTCTGTGACAGCCATATGGTGGAAGGTCTTCTTCATACCACGTAAAGTTCGACATTTCGACATTGGTGCTGAGTCACCTATGTAGTTTTTATATCATTTACACTTTTCATGCTTGACTTGGTACTTGTCTGTCCTCACTAAGCTCCATCATGTCTTCAGTTCACCGGTACTTTTCTGTTTCTGAAGAAGAGCTGAGAAAGTCATGTGAGAGTATGCTCGGGTCTTCATCAAAGGCATAGTAAGCTTTACCAATTTGCGACTAGGTTACCCACAAATCAGGCTCAATTTTTCCAATACATTTATTTTTTGTAAATTGTTTAGCTTACACTAGGATTTTACATGTTTTATTGCACAGACGCTTCGACTTCTTCGTCCCCTTCAGAGTCGATGATCTGAGTTGGTGCTCCAGAGTCGTTCACCCTCACGTTGTAGGTCTTCGTTGTCTAATCGAGTTTGATTCTCTTCAATGGGGTACCGCTCCAATGATAACCTCAGTCGGGAGTACCCTTTTTATACAAGACTATTCTAGACTGATTGTCCACTGATAGTGATTTCTTTTCATGTCGACAATGTTTAGGTCTGTTTAATAACAGTCTTGTTTCGCGGTGTGCTAGCTCTTGTAGGACCGACTGCTGCAAGATCGATTGTCTACATGAGAAGAAGTTATTTTCACTCGATGTTCAGTCAACAACAGTCCTGTATAAAAGATGCACTGCCGATTGAGGTTATCATTCGAGCGGTGATCCACTGAAGGGGATTCGATCCGATAAGGTGACGAAAAAGGACGAAGGGCGAGCGACTGTGCAGCACCAACTCGGATCATCGGCTCTGAAGAAAACGAAGACGTCGAGACGTTAACTGAATAAAGCTTATGTGACAAACTCGTGTGAGCTGAACAATTAAAAAAAAGTTTATCGACCATGCACGTTGAGGTTGACTAGAAGTCGGTTTATTAGCAGATTTAATCTAATTAGCCGTGTTTCACAGAAATGTCAAACTCCTTATCTTGGCTGTTCGAGGATATGGTTCCCAGTGTCCTTGGAAGTTTGAAATCGAGAAACATTCCAGGGTGCTCCAGGCTACGGCCATATGGTAAACCATCGAACCTGTTTTGTAATTTCCTTCTTTATATCCAAATCAACTGAAAGGTAGGCTGCAGTAATAACTTTAAAACGCCCAAGATGACTTATTCATTGAGAACTTCACATCTAGGATATTTAGAATTACTTGTTAAAAAACGCATAGACTTCGTTACAAACTCTTGAGTTGAAATCGATTGCAAACAGAAGGACTTTTATTCCAAAACTGCGTTTTGATTTATAAACGGTATCCTCATAGGCGTATTTGAAAGCGAGTTCTAATGCTCTTTCTCACAAAGTTTAGATGCCGTTTAAGTTCGTGTTAGTACGTCTCCAACAGTTTTTATCTAAATATGTTTAAGTAGTGTTAGTTATCTACAAAATTATCGTCGTGATGGCATTGTGACATGTGGCGACTGCTGCGAAACTGTAGTCAAGATGTTCACAGAATTTACTAATTTCATAAGTTCACTGGGACACTCAGTGAGACTGGAATGTAAAGTAGTTGAAAAGGAGGGCTGATCGAACATCAATGAATCAGAGCATGAAAGAATCAGTATCTTGTGCTTGTTGGGATAATCACAGCCATAAAACATGGATAAAGCTCTCGGCGTTGATCACTCCCTGAAGGATGCGTCATGCAATATCATTAAGTATCGTTGGAGGTGATTGGATACATATTTGGCCTTTACAATGATTCGTGGTGGCCTACCGATGTATCGCCATTGCTGCTATCTTCCCAGACAAGTTTAGTACCAATTTGCCGACCGCGGAGGGAGGGAAGGCTTTGTGGGCCATGGGCGTGGGGATCGATTCCACGTGTGTGTTGCAGGGCGCCACCGCCCACTGCACCACATGCACTCCCAATCACAGCCATAGTTACTATTATTTGAGTAGTTGGATCTTTCCTTTTGGATAGATGATTTTCTAGTACTCGCATTCTAGGAACTGCAATGTTTTCGCTGGTATAGAAGTCTTAACGTTTTCTTCCAAGCTGAAAGAAAAATTGCAATGATCTTTGCTGCATTGCGGTGAATACTATTTGCATTGATTTGGATTTCCACATTTTTTCTGCGAACCTCTATATGAGTAGGTTTGTGGAGGTACATTGGAGTAATGTGCGGCTTTGAGGCAATTTCTTAACAAACAGTGTATGTACCGAGTATTTTTGAAATGGTTGTGATGGTGACCTTAATTTTTTCTTTGTATAATTTCGACAGATTGTGAGAGTGTGCTTTCTTCGTCCTCCTGTATTTTCGATTAGTCTTGTATCTGTAGTTGGATAAATATAAGTATTTAGAATAAGTTACGGTAAGAGGCAAGACCCAGTGAACTGTTAAGTCAGATAGCCTTAGGGAAGCAATAGAAAGAGTGTAGAAGTTTGACTGTAGTGAATTGACTGTATAGGAATAACAGCAAAATAAAGGGAAAGGAAAACTTTTCAAATGGTTAAAACGGAACTAGAGATATAAAGAGAATATAAGAAAATAGGCATAACTATGTTTATATAAGTTAAACTATATGGTATGGTATACCATGAGTACAGTATATGTAGTATTATGTTTTATTGTTGACCCCTGATAGCGCTTTCCGTTCGAGTTCAAATGGTCGTATGTTTCCCATAGCCTTCACAGTCTGATTGATGTGGCAGCGTTAGACTTTGTGTGGGCGATCATATATTGTGTACAGTGGACCCCCACGTCCTACAACTTTATCAAACGTCTTGTTTTAAGATTTTTTAGGTGTATCTCAAAAATCGAATGATTCTCGATGAGTATTATTGATATTGGAATTATTCACATAAAGTTCTGTCCAAAGTTGTTGACGTTCAATGTGGGTGTGTCATTCGGAGCTATCAAAAACGTTTTCTGAAGAAACCCATCGGAAATGAGGACATGTTTTTTAATAACTTGGTGCTTCTCTATTGAATCTTTTCAAATCCCGTGAAAGATAGCTTTCCACTGAAATTAACTTATTGTGAGCAACCGTTATTTGAATAACTAGTGAAGGAATCTAAATCCAACCAAAGTTGTTAGGTATTCCGAAACTTTTTGATCCCGTTTCTTTCCTCTTGAACTTTATGTTGTGCGGAAATGATTGCTTTTGTACTCATTCATAAGAGTTCCTTTCTAGAATTTCGTCTCAGCTAATACTGTTTATTGTTCTAATACAGTCATCTGATATTGAATCGATGCAGTTTCCAATTTCATACTAAACATCTCATGACTGTAGTTAAAAGGATAAAAGGATGAAGCTTTCGGCGTTGATCAATTTCTGAGGGATGCGCCTTGCATTCGACTTCATTAAGCATCGTTTGGAAGTGATTGCATGCATATCTGGCTCTAAAATGACTCGCGGTCAATCGCGACAATGCTGCTATCCTCCCAAACAAGTCTGGTAGCAATTTGCAGACCCCGGAGAGATGGAAGGTTTGGTGAGCCAGGATCGCAGGGATCGATTCCACATGTGTGTTGCAGGGCGCCTTGGACCCTGCAGCACGGGAACTATAGTTAATAGCTGGTATTCTGTTGCAAGAGTAAAGTGTTGTTTGGAATGAAAAGTGTAGAATGCCCTCACTAGAAAGCTATATGCCGTAATTTTTATTGGTCCTTGTGTATATATTTCCTAAGACTATTGTCTTATTATTGTCTTTATGTTAGCAAAATCGACTTTATGAGCTCAAATTGCTCAAATATCTCTCTTTTTTGAATGGGTCTAGGAAGCTTTGTTGCAATCGTTTAATTACTTGGTCTTTAATTCATGGCATCTGTAATGATTATAATTTATATTATTTATTCAAAGTTTATAAAAGAAGGATTTTTTCTACGTCTAATAATCGCGGTAAGTAGTTATTTTGAAGTTCTTTTTTTTAAGCTGTTATCGATTATATACAAGGAAGTGTCAGTTTGCCCAACAAACATCTTCGGCTCCTCTTTATTAAGCCTATTTTGTTAATCAGTGCTTATAGCGTAAACAGTCAGTATTAGACGCCACGACTTCACGCGATTATTTGCTGAAAACGAAAGCGAACTCACAGAAGTATGAATTGCTTAATCAGTTGTGCTGACTGTATCCACTAAATTTCGTTGGAAGTAGGGAAATCCGACTTAAATTTGAAATCTGCTTGAGCGCCATAATTAAGAACCCATTCATTTTTTGCCATTTTTGTCGGTTTTTCTTCTGGAATATGTCTCACTATGTGCGGAAATTGACTTACTTAAGAAGACTGACGCAGTCGTGAAAATTCGGCATGCTCCATTATCTCGTGTTATCCTTTGGTTATTCATATCGTTGAAGTCCACCTTCATTTATCTCAGTACGTAGATATTCGACTGATGCCACAAATGGTGACAAGGGCTTTGGGACTCTAAGTGGTCTGAAATGTCTGGTCGTTTATCTTAGGTCGTAATCCCCTACCTCCAGTTGACAACGGCCACCTGAAGGCAGAAATCTATGTCGATCCTGTAAAACTACTCAACTGTTTATAGAGAAACGAAAATATGGCCGTTGAATATTAGTTCTCAATGCATTTTTATAACAATTTGGTGTTAGTTGAACAATCTAAGAAAATATTGATTAGTTCACTATTGAAAACTTGAGAAACAAGTGAGCAAAGGCCAAAGAGATCCAAGAATGGGCCAAAATGGCAAGGGCTGCTGGTTTGAAACCATCAGTTATCTCTCAACTTAAAGTTGCCTTACCAACATGCCCCGTCTTGTACTTACTTATAAAAACTCATAAGTTAGTATCCAGCGATGATCTTGCGTCCAACGATCC